CTTGGGATGCCAGCTCTTAGCAGCAGGGCCCTGGTTTGGATCCTACATGAGGGCCAGTGACGCTGTGCCCTCTACAGCTAAGATGGTGAACAACAGCTCAACCTGGAGCTGGGCTGCCGTGGGTCACCAGTGATGGCGTAGGCTGCAGTGGGGCTGGATGGCAGTGGGCATGAGCTTTCGTGAGCCACTGTCCAATGGCGGGTGAGTGACTGCCTCACCTGGGAAGAGCGCAATGATAATACCAACATGGGCCAGTGAAGTGAAATCCTCCACCACTAGACTGAACAACAAAAGGACAGCAACTTGTCTGTTCCCCTTCCCGATTCCCCAAGACTGTTCTCCTCACCCAATTCCCCAATAAAAATCTTAAAAAATAATAAATAAAAATGCTTTATATGCAATGCAAGAAATATTTGCAATTCAACCAGAGTATAAAATCAGTATTTGAGAAAAACAAGCATTATGTTGATAATCACTGTGATTGAGGTATACTTTAGGAATATATATATATATATACACACACACACACACACACACACACACACACACATATATATGCATTATTTTATAGGTCTGAAAATTAAGTTTGCGACCTTGTTGCAATGATGTTGCTAACCTTTTTTGATATCAGAGGNCTGCGTAAGATTAACTGAAAAAGAGTGAGTGAAGAGAGAAGTTTCTTTAAGATATGAGATACTAGACCATGTTTAAATACTAATGAGGAAGACACGTTAAAGAGGAAGAAGCTGAAGATACAAAAAAAAAAAAACCCAAACAACCCAACACCCACAAGATCATGGCTACAGTGAGGTCGGAGTGACAGCATGAAGGAACAAACACGTATACAGAATAGCCTTTTGATATAAGACTAAACAATTCCTTTATTATCTGGAGGGACAAATAAAAATAATGTAGTGCAGTTAGGAATCGATCCAGGTTGTAGAGCCTGCAGCTCATATATTTGATCAAGTCATTTTTAAGAGCTATGATACAGTATTATAAACACAAAGTTAGATTCAGAGCTTTAGACAGGACCCATGGTTAGGTTTCATCAGCTTCGTGGTAAATCCATGACATTTGATGTAAGGTATTTCTCAAACAATGAAGAGACGAAGACGTTAGATTAGAAGTAGAAAAGATGGAAATTGTTAATGCAGAAAACAGGATAGAAATTAGTGAGTAAAGAAAACGAGGATGGCTGCCAGGTTGAGTTACAGCGACAGGACTAGTGAAACTTAGTATCTCCAAGTCCTTGATCCATTACAGTTAGCCCATTTCAGTGGCTTTCCCCCAGCAACATTCAGGTACTCAACACATGCACAGAGAAAATGAACAGCTTAATGAGGGCCAGAGCATAGCTGAAGAGATGGTGCCAGAAGGGAATGGGGGAAAGGGAGCTTAGATATTTATAGGAATAATTATAATGGACAAGGAAGGAAGTGAAGTAAAGAAAAGGGCTGAGAGGAACTAAGTAGAGGGCTCAATGGACTATAAGTTCTGGAAAAGGTGAGGAACTTTTGCAATGAGGGTACTTCAAGTAAACAAACCGAAAATCAGCCCCATGTGGGAGTCACTGGTTTAAAAGAAAGCATTAGGAAGATATATATAAGTGATAAGAAAGTGCTCTAAAATAAGTTATTTTTACTGAAGCAAACACATAGTTCATGTGGAAATGTATTAAAATCACATTTATGTAGCACAAGTTTTGAAACAACTTGTAAAGACATCAACACTGTTTGACATATTGTTTTAATAATAGTCACTTTTAAGAATCAAGATAATACAGGTAGAAATGCTCATGAAGGGTATTAAAAGTAGTGCCCAGTCACAGCAGTAGCCGCCTTAGAGCTACTCTACTGCTTCAGATACAGTGCTCTACTTCAAATAAAAATCAGTATGATAGTGTGGACATTCCAAATTGGAATTTAATATACCACATGAAAATATCCCACTATTTATATAATGAATATTTTGCATTTCAGGTAAACAAGGATATACTGACACCTCAATATAACCTTTTAAATGCCTGAGACCAAATCCTCAGAGACTGCCTTTTTCCGAATTTCAAACTATAAAACTATATTCAAACAAAACTTCATGGGAATCCATTACTTAACATCCTGAAGAAAAACCAATTTTCCAAATTTTAAACTTTGGGTGAACTTTCAAAACTTGATGCACTGGGCCATTCAGAAAAAACAAGTGTTCAAAATTTATGTTTTGGGACTTAGTAATATTATTTGAAGTACATCTACTGGGTCAATTCCCTTCTCTTGTTAGAAAACTCAGAGTAACTGGTTAGGCCCAGATTTTAAGTAACAGGCACTTAGGGTACATGGGAGTAGTATCACTCTTAATTGATTTTTCAAGAAATATGCATACAATTCTTTCTTGAAAACTAGAGTCTAAAGAATTTCATAATCACTCTGACTATGCTAAACTGCTAAATGCAGCTTTCAACATTCATAGACTTGAAATCCTCAAAAACAGTGACCATCATACTGAACCCTGTATTCAATTCCAGTGCTATTTTCAAAAGATCCATCAATTGCCCCCTTAATCTCTGTATCCCAACAATTCAAAGACTCACAGAGGCCTTCCTGAGAAAGAACAGCAGGATCATGTTAACTAAGTATCAATTAGCATGTGATAATGCATGCACTCTGCACCTTCGTTTTCATTCACTCAATTCTGTGTTTTCTATATAAATGATTAGTAGTAGCAATGCAACAAGAACCACAGGCAGAGCAAGTCAAAGTAAAATTAAAAACCATTCAACAGGGCCGGCCGAGTGGCGNTATAAGTATTTATTTTATACATAATCATTTAAAATTTATTCAGTTTCCTCTTGTTATGTCATTCCAGAAATTTAAACTCATAGCCCACTGAATGTTTTAACACAAGTGATTCTGGAGACTAAAGGTTTTCCTACATTAGTTGATTACAAATACTTCAGCAAAAAAAATGTTTTCTGTATCAAAGTAAATCTATCAACAATTTTTACTAAATAATAGTGTAAGAGGTAAAAGGTGTTATCATCAGGGATTATGTCAACTTAGAAACAAGCCTAAAATGTTTCTCATTGGTCTTTGTAGAGACTCAAAAAGAAATAACATAGTTATTCTGAAAGATATAATGAAATAAGACTGTAATTTTAAAATGTTATTAGAAACTTTTAAGATAGTTTATCCTAGTTGGTGATAAGTTTCCTAAAACTAGGTTGAATTATTAAACTACTGTGTCCAGGAAATCTAGGCAATTGGTAACAGGTATCACAGATAGTCAAATTTGCTATTACTGACAGTGCTTAGAAACTGCTGAATTTAGAGAAGGTGATAAAACATTGCATTCCATAGGTTAGATGGCAGAAAATCTATACTGGAGGATAGGGCATTAGAGTATGAAGACAAAAATGAAGGACAGACTAGATTTTTTAAAATAAATAATAAAATTCAGAGTCAATGTAAGAAAAACATTTTTTAAAAGCTAGGAATATGTGAGGAAGATTATTTACCAATAAACCACAGTGTATTTGACTTAAAAGCTTGCCTGATAAAATAAGGAATGTGACACCCCTCCTTTCTCTGCATGAACCCATCCATCATCCTTTTGTTTAACAGAAAACAGATCACACTTTAGAGGGGTCTGCTTTCTTGTTCCCTTATGGAATCTTGGGCAAATCCCAATCTTTAGAGATCTATTTTCCAATCAATATAAGAAATAAGTTTAATTTAAATATTCTTAATTATAGGTCTATATCAGAAACATTTGTGGAGCTCTTGTGCCCACATACCATATCCCTACCCTAGATTCTGATTTCATAGCTTTGAAGTGGGGCCAAGGCATCTGTTGAAGAGTTACAGTACTAAGTAGGCGGTCTGTGATGTAGAGAGAAAAACTATTTTTAATATTCTCTCTTTCCCTCTTAAAAAAAAAAAGTGCCAAAGAAGGTAAATTTTATATATTTCTGGTTTTACTTGGGTTTTTGAGCAAAGAGAAGGAAATAAGAATGCAATTAGAATAAAAAATAGTTAATTACATCTTTTTTAAAAGAGCACCCAATTCAGACAAAAGCAATTCATTCTCAAAGGTACAAGAATCCAGTCCCTTTTTAGATAAACACAGAGATATCATCACTTGATATTTGTTAAGCACCCATTCAGGGATAAAGACCTCAGGAACTTTTCTGATAACACTGAGACATTTCACTCATTCGGTCCATAACTATGTATTACGCAGTTCTACTGGCAGTTCCTGTACTCTCCTTGAGGGATACAGCAGTGAATGGCACAGGTGAAGATCCTAGCCTCACGCATGGAGCTTACCAAGAAGCAATTGCTTAATGATGACTGATTCTGGAGCACGTGATCTATTCTCTGCTTTCTATTATAGTAACACTGCCAGATGGATAAATCCATGGATGGGTAGACAGGTACACACACAGATGGAGCCGGAGGGACAGAGTTGGGTGGCCAGACAAATCAGTGAACACAGATAAATAGGTTTATAATATATTTTAAAAATTATTCCTTTCTTGAGAAAGCAAGTTCTTCCATTTGACCTTCATGAAATTACACAGTAGTTTTATAAAGAGTCTGGTGTTAGGCAGAAATTCCAACAATATGTGATACAGGCAACATCTGTCTATACCAAAGTCCAACCCAATATCAGTGTTTTTCTTCTTTACTTTCAGGACTAGCATACTGTAAAGACTGGTATCTTGACTGGAAAGTCTAAAAACTAAAAAAAATATCCTAAAGGAATATTTTAACAAAATTTTGAGATAAACTGTTTAGGTGACCATTTAACACAGGTTATAGACTATATTAACTGTGCAGGTTTCCCACATACGTCTAAATTACCATCATTAAATTCAAACACATATTTAGAGTATTCTTCCTCAATTATTAGGTAGCTATACAAATGGAACATTAAATTGTGCTTTACACACTGTAAAAAAAACCTGGAGAGAAGGGGAATAAAGTAGATGCTAAACTTACCTCTTGGCCTGATTTTCCTGAATTCTCTGAATGTAATGATTCAATTTCTCCTTCAATCATAGCAGCTTCTAGGCACTCATGTAGATCTTTGAACCCATTGACCTGGAGTGGGTACTGACCAAACATTTCAGTATTTTCAAATTTTTTACCTATAGGAGGGAAAGCTAATTAATGTTCTTTAATGTGGCATCTTAGCTACTAAATGTATATATGAATTATCTCCTGAACCTGACAATTGTAACTCTATGTTCCTGAGAGTAGTTAGTGTAATTTTCCTGTTGGTTAACATATGTACATATCCAGTCATAAATATTCATTACACACACCCATATGTATGTATGTAATTATATAGACGTGTGTGTGTGTGTGTGTGTGTGTGTGTATTCTTTTTCTTTCAAAAAAATACTTTCAAAGGGCAAGATACTGTGCTAACCACTGAGAATATGTATAACAGTGAACAAAGAGATGGTTCCTAAGCTAAGGAAACTCTCAGCCTCTTTTGGAAGACATCATACACATTAATTGCACATATAATTATGAACACATAATTGTGTGCTATTATAAGCGTTATAAAAGTTTTGGTGCGATGGAGTGCTGTGAGAAGGTATAAAGAGGGGAGCTAACCTAGTCTTTAGGGCTACAGGGTAGAACAGAGAAGACTTTCATAGCAGAATGACATTTGTGTTGAGATTTGAACAGTGAGGGGGAGTTAGCCAGGCCCGAGTTTCAGGGAGCTACAGAGTATTCTTGGCCAAAACAGCACACGTAAATACTTTAAGGCTGCAACAAACCTGGCATAGTTTGAAGAACTAAGAAGAGGACAGTATATCTTGTGGAAGCAATGGGGAAATAAATGGAGAGGTAGTGGGTGGGTCAAAATTTACAATCCAACAGCCCTTAAGAATTTTTTTTTTCCAGTATGTTCTGAGTATAATAGAAAGTCATGCATACTTAAATCTAGGACTAATAGGAACAGATTTTTGTCTTTGAAACATCCTTATGGCTTCTGTTAAGTGGGTGGTAGACTGTTAGGACACTATTACACAATCCATGTAGAAATAACGATAGCATGGAAAAGGGTTAATAGTAAAAGTGTACAAAAAGATTAATTTACACATTCACACACACA